TCAATAATATATTACATATTGCCTTCATCGTGGTTACTGTACAAGCTTTTAGCTATTTTTACAAAGAACACTGTTGGGGGGGGGGCATCATGCCAGACAACAGTGGCCTAGATCTCTTCAGTTCCGTGAGAACCAAGGACCTCCCGAGTGGTCTGCACACTGCTGGGTGTTTGGGCCTTCATGCTGAGCTCTATCTCGATTCTTTAGACTGGGTCTCAATCACCGAGGTTCAGTTCAGATTTGTGCTCTCCTGCCTCAGTCTCCCAGGCTGCTTAGATTATAGGCATGCATAGCTTTCAAACGCCCTCTGGTCCTGAGGGACAGCATCTCATTCTTTTCCCCAGGGAGCCTCCCCCTCCCCTTCTAGTGGAATGAGAATGGGGAAGGGGCTTTCACCCCACTGAAGCCAGCCCCGCCCTCTGGAGGGGATTCCACTGTGCAGGGCGTCCTGAGCGTGGCCCACCAGCCTGCTGGATGGCCGCCCTCCCTCTCCCCCCATTTCCTTCCTAGTTGTTGACTGCGGCCCTCCTGAGGATTTACCCAACGGCCGAATGGAATACATCACAGGCCCCGACGTGACCACCTACCAGGCTGTGATTCAGTACAGCTGCACAGACACCTTCTACACAATGAAAAGCAATGACAGTAAGCAAACTCTGCCCCCGGGGGTCGCTGATACTTGCACGTTGAGCCCTTGTGGCCTGAAAGTGACATTTCTGAGAAAGGGAGACACCAGAGTAACAGGCACTTCTCCCATCCACCAAGTGAACTATTACAGCTAAAGTGACTTTAATGTTAATCTGTGAGAACTGAAAACATCTGATCTAGTAAATGACTACTACAAACACACAATATATTCCAAATGGTTTAATTTAACAAGTCAAACCTTATCATTAAGCACTTGAGATGTTGATACATATTCAAGTTACACATCTAAAAGGTTTCCACTTTGCAAGCGAACATGGTGACGCAGACTTCCTATGTGTGAGATCGCGCACACGGCTGCCACGCCCCGCCCCTCCCCTCCCCGGGGCTCGAGAACCAACACTTTCCAAGGGGGAGTCAGGCGGATGACAAGCGCCTCATATGTGCAGTTACACAGTCTGTCTTTCCAATGATTTGCAGGTAAATATGCATGTGAGGCTGATGGATTCTGGACGAGCTCCAAAGGAGAAAAATCGCTCCCAGTCTGCGAGCCTGGTAACAGACACTTACACAACAGATTCGGGTGGACAGAAAGGAGAAGTGGGAGGGAGACAACAGGCAGAGCTTTAGCTGCGGGAGGCGGAAAGCTCACTTGCGCGCTCGGCTCCTCGGCCAAGTGATTATTCCCAAGTATTACGCTCCCATCACCCTTTGCATACGGGAGGCTGTGAGGTGCTGACTACATCTGTCATTTGATTATTTCTGACCTTATAACCAGGCAAACATAAAAAATTAAATGATTTTTTAAATTATCTCGAACAATTTATACATTTATAAACGTGAGTTCCTCTGTTGAGTTTTCTCCTCTGTAAAGATGCTATTAAAACCCAAAGCTAATAACTTCATTATTTCCCTAAGCAATTGTTTTCAACGACATCTAGGTTTTTAAACATTAATGCAATATGCCTTCTAATAGTACTTAAATTCTTTCTACCCGAATTGGCTCCAGTAACAGTTGAGAATGATTTCTTTAAAAAAAAATCTGAACGGTAATAATATATTCATTACCCCTGTGTTATTTGGCTTAAATTAGTTTTTTTTAAAGCCTATACTTGGCTGACACAATGTAAGTTTTAATGCAAGCATACAGCCACAACAGCAAACAGAGACGCTCCAGTAATGAGCGTAGTTTGCAATAATGACACAGTAAAAATTTGGTGTTTGAACCAAAAGCCAAGGCGGGCGTGGCGGCAAACACTTGTAATCCCAGCACTGAAGAGGCTGAGGCAGGAGGATCACCGCAAATTCAGGCCAGCCAAGCCACATAGTGAATTCAAGACCAGCCTTAACTACAGTGAGACCCTGTCTCAAAAACCAAAAAGAACCAAAACCAGACTAATTCCTTCACCTCAAGGGTCCTGCCTACAACTGCTACATTCTAATTTTTATGTTTATATGATCAAAGGTGAAAGTAATCCTGCAAACTGTGACCTTAGTTGTTACTTCCTCAGACTCACATGTATGCCCATTTTATAAGCAGCCCTGGTGGCGGGGGCGGCCCTTCTGCCTTCATAAGCCAGTCACCCTGTGAGCTGAGATGCCCATTTGCCTGACGTAATAACCCCACTGAGCTTATCACTAAATTTCTTTTTTGACAAAACCAAGTAATTTTTTTTGGGGGGGTGGAACTGGGGATTGAACTCAGGCCCTTGTGCTTGCCGAGCAAGCACTCATTCCACTGAGCCATCTCCCCGGCCCCAAAACAAAGTAATTTTGCTAACTTTCATTCATTTTCTGAGGAGCTAAGAAATATTAAATGCATTTACGAATGGCACTGCTTTAATACTGCCTGCTTTAATTCACCTGGCCAGGGCCCACCCAAATGAAGGGGTGTAATTTCTGGCTGACTACCCACAGCACCAGAGCAAAATGCACGTTAAGATAAACACCACTGAGTTACACTCTTTTTTTCTCCCAGTCTGTGGACTATCGACTCGTACTACAAGAAGTCGAATATTTGGAGGGCAAAATGCAAAACTTGGCGACTTCCCTTGGCAAGTCCTCTTACTAGGTCAAACTACAGCAGCAGGTGCACTTTTATATGACAACTGGATCCTAACAGCTGCTCATGCCATCTATGAGCAAAAAGATGACGTACCATCCCTGGACATTCGAATGGGCACCCTGCAGAGACTATCGCCTCATTACACACAGGCCTGGGCCGAGGCGGTTTTCATCCATGAAGGTTATATTCATAACGCCGGTTTTGACAATGACATAGCACTGATTAAATTGAAGAACAAAGTTGTAATCAATAGTAACATCATGCCAATTTGTCTGCCAAGAAAAGAAGCAGAAACCTTGATGAAAACAAATGACATTGGAACTGCATCTGGGTGGGGATTAACCCACAGGGGTTTTCTGGCTAGAAGTCTAATGTTTGTGGACCTACCCATCGTGGACCATCAAAAATGTGCTGCTGCGTATGAAAAGCAGCACTATCCAGGGGGAATGGTAACAGCGAACATGCTTTGTGCTGGATTAGAAGCTGGGGGCAAGGACAGCTGTCGAGGTGACAGTGGGGGGGCATTGGTGTTTCTAGACAATGACACACAGAGATGGTTTGTGGGAGGAATTGTGTCCTGGGGCTCCATTAAATGTGGGGCAGCAGATCAGTATGGAGTATACACCAAAGTCATTAACTATATTCCCTGGATCAAGAACATAATTAATAATTTTTAGTCTGCATGTCTGTAGTCAGTAAATGATTCCTTATTTTTAGAAGTGCCTGCATATTTAGTGGCAGCACAACCCAAGAAGTATCAACATGGCAGCTGGCGTCAGCCCCACCCGACTCCAGGTCAGACAGTTCCAGCACCTCCAGCACCCAGGCTACCTGCAGTATAAAACTTCCCTCACCAGTCTGTGTGCATTTCTGCACATTGCACACCTAGGTTCCATTTGTTGTTCTTCATTAATCTCTAAGAGTGCTTTCCATAACACAACAGAACTGGGTACAGGAATAATTTTGAAAATTCATTCTGAGGTGGTAGGATTACAGATATCAATCCTTTAGCCCAGGAATGAACAAGATTTCCATATTCAAAACCAATGCCACAGTACTTGGGCAAGCTGGCACACTTGCAATCCCAGCACTGAGGGAGGCTGAGGCAGGATTCCAAGTTTGTGCCCTACCTGGGCACCCTAGCAAGACCCAGTCTCAACAACAAGCAAAGTCAGGGTAGCCTGAGAATGTACCCACCTAGTGATAGCATGCTTGTGGGTTCAATCCCCAGTACTGCCAAATAAAAAATAAATAAAAGCAAGATTTTTTCATTTGTCAAATTGGCAGACAAAGGCAAATGTGGGCACTGTCAAAGACAATATAAACTATAAAAGATAATCTAGCAATCCATTTTAAAACCTTAAAAGTACCCGTAACTTTTGACCTAATAATTCCAATGCTAAAAATTTAACTTAGCTGTAAAGATGTTCCTGGCAACTAAACATAGCCTAAAAACT